TTCATAAGTGGAAGCTCCGGCTGCAAGTAGAAGCAAAATTTTGCGGCTGGAGCTGGTCATAACTCGAAATGGTCGTAAGAAGGGATGTCCGTAAGTCAAGGCACCACTGTGTGGTGCCAGTGTGGATGAAAGAAAGGTAATAGTTGCCACTGTAAGTTAAGAGGTCCTACTGTCCTACTTGGTAAGGCTGCTGTGCATTGTAAGGAAACACAAAGCATATGTTTTATTGCTTGGAAGCAATCAAAGGTTACTTTTAAGGTTCATGCTTGTATATGGGGCTTACTACGCACTTCTGAGACCTAGAGGACCTACCTCAGGGAATAAAAATGGTAGTTTGGTGCCCAGAGGGACTCCCTGACCACAATCTTGGTCTCTTTAGGGAGCCAGGATCGTTACAGCCCCAAATGAAGGAAATGGCATCTTATAGTACAGTATTTCTGATTTTTCCTCTACCTAGAAATCCCTGGAAAGAGTTGCCATAAATCGGAACTGACTTGAGGACATGCAATTATGATGGTGATGACAGCCACAATCAGGAATTTTAAACAATTGTTGTCTGTTCTAATCATTGCTATCTGAAGCTGTAATACATCGGAGACATTATGGAGGGGAAGATGCAACTATATCATTCTGAAAAGTCATACTCTTCCGGAGACATTATGGAGGGGAAGATGCAACTACTGTATATCATTCTGAAAAGTCATACTCTTCTCACATTTCAAATAGCCTGGACAGTTATAGCAGCAGATCTCTTGGTTGGAAAATGCTGCTGTTGAATGGCAAGTCCATGAATAGGAAAATAATCATAAACCATGATTTGATCCTGATGAGCAAATAGACCTAACTTGTTATTCCAGAGATCAGGGAAGGGGTAGTCAGTCTCTTTCAGCTTTCCCCAGTTTTCTGGATTCTTTTGGAATAGCAGGGAGAACCTGCTATGGGAGACAAGGAGGTGAGTACACAGGTCCATTGTGATTCCTTCACCCTCACTGGGTGTCCCATTCCACAGCATGCTGGATTTGTGTATATATCAGAAAGTGTCCAGTTATAATGCAAAATATTTCAGTGTTCCCCCGCCCCTTGAATGGGCAATTAAAAGCCATTAACTTCACAAAAGACTAACTTCTAATTTGTTGATGTGGACAACACAGCTGCATTTTTCTTTGGCAAGGAGGGCTGGCTAGAAGAACTATCATAATAAGCATCTGCATGTTCAAGTTTTGGGTTGTGTGTGTGTGCGTGCAAACTACAATTCATATGTACAGATGCAAAATTTGTAGCTATACATTTAGATTTATATATATATATAAATGTATAGCTACAAATCTTGCATATACTGTATATAGACAAGAATTCAGAACTGATAGCTGTACATTTGAAAAGAAATACAATCCACCATAATGGAAAGTCTATAACCAAGTGACAAGTCAGCTATCCAAGGTGGTATCCAGGTAACAGGTCACAATGGCTCCTTCAAGGCTCTTGTTTCCCTTTCCTAAAGTGTATCTTTAGGCTGGTCTTAGGCTGAACAGGATTGTTCCCTATCTATGGCCGCCTGAAGCAGGCACTCTGCTTTACATTTCAGACCAAGCCAGATAATTTTCACATTTTCTTTCAACAGTTTGCACAATTGCACCAGATTCACGTGAAATCACAGTGGACAAGTAAATGGATTAAAATAGGTTAATAGTCAGTGTAAACCTTGGAAATCATATTCTTTTTTAAAAAAGCATAAAGTGAGAAATATAAAATCAGAAAATGTATATGACTAATAATATAATCAAGTGATTCCTAGTCGGATCAGACACAGGTATTCCGTATGTGGTAGGTTCTTCACAGGTATGGTTATAGTTATTGGCCAAACTGCACACTAGAAATATGTTCCTGTTGGATAAGACAGCAGCAGAAAAATGTATCCTTCTAAAAATATTTTGATCCTGCTAAAGGTGTGCTTTGAGTCTGGGACCTAAGAAAAGACATCAAGCAAGCCACAATGCAGATTATGTGTGAAGCATCCAGTTTGGGCCAGCTGAAGAGGCTTATGCAACCAGAAGTCTAGTGACAACCCGGCTGTTGACAGATCAGCAAGGTAGTCTTCTTGTCCTATACTAGCTTCCTAACTTGGAAACCCTGAAGGCATATACAACAGTTCAGATCAGAAAGGAAGTCCATTTCTTCTCTAGTAACTTCAGAGCTAGGAAAAGTTACTTTTTTAACTGATCACCCCCTGACTGGCCCAATTAGTTGGACAGTCTGGGGATTATTGTCAAAACAATTTCTTTGCCAAACTTTGGGCTTCTCCCCAGGGCATTTTGTCATTCCAACCCCCTATTAACCAGGGGTGGGGACTCAAGTCGGACCTAAGTTGTATTGGTTACTCTACTCAGACTCGATTCAGGTTTTTCTTCTTCTTCTTCAATGACTCAGACTCTACTTGTGACTCAGAACCCACCCACCTACCCTCCCTTTTTTCTGGAGGGAAAAAAGCTTATTTTTAATAGGAACTCAGACTTGGGGCTTGGGATTTGGTACCAAAGATTCCGACTCGGACTTGGGACTCGGACCCAAGGACTTATGAACATCCCTGCTATTGGCACTCTGAGGGTGGGGTGTGTGTGAAACAAGTCAATATGCTTATCAGGTAATTAAAATCAGTGCTTCCTCAAATGGTTAAAGACTTGCCATTTGCACATGGCCTTTTCTTTGCCTACATAGCTTGCGTTTAGCCATACATACTTTGTTTTGCATATAGTCATTGGAAGCTACACATAGGCTGACTTTGTAAATCTGATTGTGGAAGCACATGTTTTTGAGAAAGTGTTGCTGGAGGGAGTATGTACTAATCTCAGGGAATAGGCATTTCCCTTAACATATTTTTTGGCTTGGTTTGCCTGCTGGTCTCAGCATCAAGAGAATTCTGCTGCTCTGCTCCCTCCTTCTGTGACGCTTAATTGGCATACTTACTTTTAGTTTCCTTATATACACATTATAAGGACATTATTATCCTGTATCTACATTATTATCCTGTATCTCAGACAGAATATGAAATGTTAGGCTTGAAAATTAATTCGTTGATATTGCCCATTAGAAACTGGGATGTTGTTAGAATTGGGAACTGAAATTATTTGATTCCTGGAGTTAACACTGAGCAATATGTTAATTAATATAATTAATTCTAGAGAATAGCATATGGGTTGTTGCCAGCTGACCCCTTGTGACACATTTGCTATGGAGGCCTACAAAAGGTGTTATTTTTATTGCTCTAAAGTTGCCCTCCCCAATCTGTACTTTTGTCGAGATGGACTACAAATCCCATAATATATGGGTTGGCTAGAGGTGTATGACCTGGTGACTTCCAGTAAAGCTTAGCATGAACAGTTCTGCTCAGCTTTTACAAACCCAAGGCCATTGCTTCCTTTGTTAGGTCGATCAATCTCATCGATCAAACTTCAAAGCTGAGCAAAAGTATACTGAATCATTAAAAAGAATACAAACAAGACGATATTTTAAGTCCTACAGTATGTTTCATCAGGCAAACATAGTTTAAAACTTGGGTTAAGTTAAATTGTAAATGGTTTAAAAACTGGGCCAGGTGGAGTGCCTTAGCTCATGAAGATGGGGTTGTCCACAGAGCAAATGGAGTTTGGATACCACCTGAAGCATAGGTGACAAAGATTTTAATATTTATGCACCCACCACCACATGGCAATTGCCTTGGATCTCTTTCCAGAACTGCAGAAAAATGTGATGGAATGTGACAGTTTTACACCAGCAAAATAGGAAAATGCCTTTGACACCACACCAGGCTTAAAAGTCAGTTACACACCACATGGATTGGAAGAAAGAGGTTCAGTGACGTGGAAAAGCCTCCTCTCGTTGCAGCAGAATTCTTCTGAGGTGGCTGATTGTGGTATTTTCAGCTGAAATGCAAAAAAATGGGCATGTGATCCATTCATTGCAAGGAAATCCAAGGTCAGGCAATATTTTTACTAGGTTTGATTTTTAATCATAGTGCACACATATGAGAAGTATAGGTGGTGTATATATACTGGCTTCCTCCCAGCAGATAGCAGACAGACAGGTCAGCCAGCCCAGAACAAGATCTAAGCCTCTTGTACTTGTATGAATGACTAGTTGCTGCCTTGATTCGGGCACTCACCTAGGTAGTACATTGTCCATGAGCTTCCACTGTCCTGTTCAAACAAACCAGGTAGAGTACGTCAGACTTCATGGTTTCCACCAGGGCCATCCTTTCACAAAGGAAAAGGCAGCTTGTATGTGATCAGAAGCATTTTGTCCTTGTACTCCCCACCCACAATATAACATTGTTATTTTGGGGTGGGAGAATAATTCTATATAAAGTATTTGTTCATATACATGTACCTAAACATCTATAGATGCTAATTATGAGGCATAAAAAGACAAGCTCCACATGAAAATATACTGTAGTGTTTTCTACAAATTAACCTTGAACAGACCTTGCTACTGCACCCAACTGCATTGACATTTGAAATTGCACTCTTGATTAAAGCAGTCTTCACCAGCATTTATTTATTCATTTAACTTATATCCTACTATTCTCCTAGCACTGGGCATCATGCACTTCTTTTGGTTATATGTCACTTTTAAAAATAATTTTTCATTTGTGCTTCAATTTTAAATTAGAAGAAAAACAAAAGGAGCAACCAAATAAAAAGCACCCCAGATCAAAACAAATGAAAAATAAAAGTAAGTGCTTTTGTTTTGTTTTGTTTTTGGAAAAAGACTGGTGACTTTAACAGAAGCTGCTTTCTTCTATGTCCATCGACTGTAACACCATGAATTATAGATTAAGAATATGTTATTTTAACCACTTCATCATTATCATAACTATCAGCAGTAGTGCCCCTAGTGTTGAAGCTTCCAGGCACATTTCATCTGTGGAACTGGCAAAAGCAGAAGAGGGGATCTGCAGTGAGACCCAATTTCTGGCTGCAAGGAATTCCATTTGGGAAATTTTGCTCACCCCATATCAAGGGGTATGCAGAAGAATGAAGCCAGCTCCGAGATCTCAACATGTAGGAGTGCTGATGTCTGCATCTTGGAAGCCTCCCCACTTTCCTTTATCAGGGAGACTGTGGTGTGGACAAGGCTTCCCACTATCCTCCAAAACCTGGTATCCAAGGTAACGCAGATATTCCTTGCTCTTTGTTATGTGCCCAAGAGATGGCAAATCCCCAGAAATCAGCATTGGGAGGAGTGTGGAGTTTGCAGAGGGGAGCGGCAATTTTCCCCAGACACTTTATTGGTGGAATAGGGAATGCCAGTGAGCCAAATTAGGCCTAAGGGCCAGAGGTTCCCTTGTCCTGGAGCAGACACAGCTGTTGGGGAGAGAATCCTAGTTCGTTCATTCTTATGGAGAAAGTGCTATAGTATTCTTGTCATCCTTCTCAACCGGTATGACTGGTGCATGCTTTCATGCTGCACATTTTACATCTGCACTTTTTACAAAGCACACTGTAACTACTGTGCTCTCTCTCTCTTCCACAAATTAATATTCCCAGTTCTTCTCTTAAGGGAGCCTTTGTTTCACGGGGCGGGGCGGGGGGAAGAGAGATTTAATGCTGCTCCCATCCATGTGTCAACCCAGTTAACTCAGGGCACCAGAAACATCCCTTGAAAAACATTCTAATGTCAAAGACAGCTTGACCAATCTGATTACGGAGGTTAGGGCATTAAAGGACTGCACAAACAACCATAACATTCATACAGGAAGCTGCTATAGATAAGGTCTTGCCAAAGGCCCAAGAAGGCACAATGTGATGTGCTTTGAGCACATGTGATGCTGTATGAATGCAGTAGTCAGTTTTAGCTGGTCGGATCAAGGCTAAACATCCAGACAGCAAGGGTGCCAGAGTTAGAGCTTTTCTTATGAAAGACATCTGTAGAATATGATGCGTTTCATGAAAGTTGCCATTGAATTAAGAACAGTCTCCTTCCAGTTGTTTGGGAGGCAGGAATTGAGGAGGAAGGATTTAGAGATGTCTTCCTTCTGCTTCAGCCAAAATGGCTGAGGAACTCTGGGAAAGGCTAAAAGTGTGTGTGTGTGTGTGTGTGTGTCTGTGTCTGTCTCTCTCTCTCTCTCTCTCTCTCTCTCTCTCTGTGTGTGTGTGTGTGTGTGTGTGTGTGTGTGTGTGTT